CATGTTATTGAACATTTTATTGAATGATAATAATTTTTTTTATATATATTGTATTGTGATTTTAGGAAGTTGTAAGAAATCCTGATATTCCTGACGTTGCTATAAATGTAATCGAAGAACAAGCTGTAGAGTTAGATATCGAGGAACAAAATCCAATTGATATACAACCAGTAAGACATTTTATTGACCTTATTTTTGAATGCTTTTAATTTTTATTTATATATATTTTTATGTGTTTTTAGAAAGTTTTAAATAATCATGAGAGTGCTGCTATTGATAAAAATATAATCGAAGAACGATCTATGAAGTTAAATATTGAGGAAGAAAAGTGCTCTACTAGTACTAGAAAAACTACCGGAAAAAAAAATTTTAGAAACACTGCAACATCTATATTTCATCATTGTAACGGTCGGATTTTTGAATTTAAAAGGGAATCAAACGAAGAAAACGAAGCTACCATAGCCTTTATAAATAATATAGTAATGAACGGAAAACAATAGCTATCACCTGCTAAATCGCTTCCTAATGAATTACATTATTATATCATTAAAAATATATAAATGAAGGTAATAAACGTTTTAAGAAGTCTATATATATATAATTTTGCTCGATTTTCTATGATAGTCCTTTTTCTGAAAGTAAATCTGACTGGCGTGGTACTTTGCGGCTTATTTTCTTGACAACTCCCAAATATTGATTGTATTAGTACAGCCTGAGTAATATGCAAAAGTATTATCTTAGTTTTTATTCGAAAAATTATTTCCTTTTGTTATTTTGTTTGCGACGGTGGCCGTGTGCTAAAAAAAAACAATTTTGTTTATTGATATCATCGTTATATTACTATAGTATCGTTCTTCAGCAACATTCATAAGATTTATTCATAATTATATATCACAATATATTCATTTACTAAATCCATAAAACAACAATGAAATTATGTCCACATAATTTCTCACTCTATAAAAAATAAACAACTACATCCATAACTTTAATGAATAAATGAGTGATATCCTATCAATAACACTCCATCCACTAAATGTGAAAACATTGCTTTGAATTTCTTTAATTCATTAGTATAGACATTTTTTATAATTTTTTGTATTTGAAGAAGTGCGATAATTTAATATAAATAATTTAACTTAGCTTGGTGGGTACTCATAGTATGTTTTTAAATAGTGTTATAGTAATATTAATAAATTTTTTAAATGGGAATATTGATTAGAGCAAAGAATAATGATTTTTTTTTAAAATTTTTTGCAGCAAATGAACTTAACAATAGTTCATTCAAGGCAACCAAATTATCTGATTTGTCACTTGTATCACCTTTTATGCGTGATCGAGATTACCCGATTCATATATGTACGGAAATCATGGATAACACACTGCCTTCCAACGTATAGCGGATACCTATACGGATATCAATGGGAAATACTAATGAACAACGCCAATTATTTGATACGATTAGGGAACCCGTTTCCGGCGAATTACAAATAATTAATTGTATCTTCACTGTGACACAAGAATAACCCATTCAATATTAAAAATCAGCATTTTGTATATTTACCTTAATTATAATTTTGTACATCTGTATACAATTTAAACAAATTGTTTACAATACAATTTTTATGAATAAAGGAATGTCATTTATTATTAAATTTTCATTGTTTTAGATTAACCATTTGTTCTCCTATTCATTACTTATCTGTTATGAAATAAATTACTTATTATTATTTTATTTTAAAAACATAAAGTTGATAGCAATCGAGTCATTTATATTATTAGTAAGTCAAGTCATTCTATTAAAATATAATAGATGATAATGGTAAGAATCACGGTAAGGTAATAATGGTGAGGTACCATTATGGTAAGAAGTCATAATAGGAAAAGGTGGATAAATCATTTAAATTAAATTTCATTGATGACAATCATAACAAGTCGCAAGATAACCAAGGAGATCAGATATTTAATAATTATTTTAAATGCTAAACACCATAGGTCATTAAAAAATGTATAGTTAAATATAATTTTATACATATAAGTATACTTATTTTTAAATTATTTTATACTTTATTATCTATCTATTTCATAATTATTCTCTATGAATAATTATCCAAAATGCAACAAAAGAGGTATCTTATAATTTTTCCACATTGTTCTATACATCTTTAAATATGCAAGGGTATCAACGGTTAACTGCGGTAATAGTGACGGAGATTGCAACAAGAAATCTAGCGTGAAATCGTTTATATTACACATTATTGGCCCGTGTAAGCTGGTACAGCTAGTTTATTTAGAAACTTAAAAAAAACATGTCATTATTTATTTTTTTTTTTTATACAGTCCCTTTGTACCCTTAATTCTTCCAATATAATCTTATCCGTGATTCTGTTCCAAAATACTGGGACTGGGGATCTATTGTCAATTTGAAGATAATCGTTAATAAAGACCGGCGTTAAATTACTTTTCCCCTTAAAAAATATACTATTACACACTTGTTTTAATAAAAATCGTATTAATTTTAGCCTTCTGTATAATGTTCATCATTGACTGTATTAGCATTTAGCGCCCCTAAGTTCTTCTTATTAAACATTCATAGCTCGTTTTTCCGTGTCAATATTAATAGTCTCCCTTCTAGTTTCACTGGTTGGTACCTGTTTAAACTGTTAGATATTGTCCCGGGTGTGAGAACTGTGTCTGTCTTATTAATGGTTGTAAATTTAAAGTCGACTACTATAAATTTAATTTGTTTGGTGAAAATTTCATATTTATCGATTAGTATCTTATTTCCTTACCCCTTTAACTCAAATTAAATTATTTTTTTTTTTATTATTATTACTATATATTTATATTGCATGTTTATTTTCATTATATTTTTAAATATTTTTTTATTTCATTTATAATATTAATAATATTGATTTATCTATAGTGAATTCACTAGTTATATTTTATTTTATTATTATTATTTTTTTTTTTACTTTACATTTTTATTACTGTAATATTTCTTTACATAATTTGTTTAAACAACTAAACCTTTTCTACCTCGTTGTATTTTTATATTTTTGTCATTTATTACTTCTAGTACCTCATACGGTCCTATCCATAGGGATTTAAATTTATTCTTTGATGCGTTATCTTTTAACCATCTTATATCTTTTACGTGTATATCTATTGCGTTTTGGTTTTTATCATATTTTTTTCTTTTTATCTATCCTTTGATATTTTAGGTACTTTTAGTATATACATATATTATAAACATATAAATACACAGTACCAACTCTATTTTCATTCTTTTTATTTTTCGGACTGACTTAAAATCTATATATGTTTGACATAAATAATAATAATCAGATATAATATTGAACCAGAAAACCAATTATATTTTTAAAATTTTAATTTTGTGAACTGAACAGTTCTTATTTTCGGACTTTTTGCCCACGACTCAAAAATTGTGCACCGATCTTTTGTCCGACAATAACAAAAATGAGTCGGGACTTTTCGTTCAGGATTCATATTTTACCAAGAACTCGTAGTAAACTGTTTAGAGAATAAATTGAGTTTAGATTTAGCATATTGTGTCTAAATATGTGAACATTTCACACGCATTATATTTGCCCGTTGTTTATCTTTGGACAATACATAGTAGATATGAACGCGACACTAAATCCCCTACATTATAACCATTTTGCCAAATATGATAAAAGATATTACCTATCACGTTTTGCGTTTTATTTTTTGTTATTTCTTTCATAATATGTTATCATATAATATAGTAGTAAAATAATATAATATCTACTGAATCCATACTAATATATTATATTCGTATTATTTATAATACGTTTTCTAGAAATCTGAAAGCGTATACGTCACGTATACGGGTTCATTGTCAATATAAATATACTTACAGTTATTTATTTATTTTTTTTTTGATTCGGTCAACACCGCATCTCGATATTCAATTAACGGACTAAAGCGAGACCGACGACGACGGCACCGAATTTCATTTGTTAAAATCACGTATCGGCGACAGCGACACGTACATAAAAGAAACAAAACCGGTACGCGTTTTTGGAATCGAGGGTTGGTTTTGTAAGACAAAACCCACCTGCTCTGCGATTTTACTATTGTTATATATTATATATTAATAATGCATATGCCTTTTCTTTATAATAATATAATAAATCTGTGTGCCCATCGAAAACATTCCTTAAACGCATTCTATCACATAATATACCTAACATCAGTTGTCTGCATAAATCAAAAACGTCGACATCGACCAGTTGCAGAAAAATAATACGATCGTATACGAAGAAACGATCACAATACGTATACATAATATATTAAAATTTTATCTCATGAAAAAAAAAAATATATGTTTTGTCCTTTGATTGGTCGAAAACCCGGGATTATAACAATCTGTGTAAAGACCACCTGCAGTTCACCCCTAGTCGTTTTCGTGGCGTTGGCATACTTAGGGTAGCGGGAAGAAGGTTCGCATCACCGACAATGTAACTATACGCATGCTTTCGCTACACTCTGAATCTAAAATCAGTAGTTTGGAATGACTATTACAATATGATGGAAAACTCGTGCGTCATATTCGGAGGAAAAAATTTTGGTTTTTATTTTCATGGTTTTTTTTCCTGCTACCCCACCCTCGTGCAAAGGATTTCCGTCTTTCATATTGTTATGTTGGTTGTTCGCTGTTACAAATTAACTTGACGCCAAAATGAAAGAAATAATAATATGGTATTGAAACAGAAACAACGGATTTACACTTAAATTGTCTCTTTTGTTTCCCTTAAAATATCAAATTCTCGTTAATATTAACGATGATTGCAAGTAAAATTTAAATCGCATTCCCAAATGGAGACATTGATGGTTATTACCTATAACTAATTAATTATTAGATTGGTATCTGCTACGTTGTAGATAAATGTCTTAGCATTACTAGTCACACATTCCATGTCCATCATTAAGTACCGTCATTAAAATTTGTTTGTTTCTGGCGTCCGGAAGGATACCTACCATATTCATAGCAAAGTAGTATAATAATATACCAGGTAATCCATTTAAGTGGATACAATATCTTGGAAAGTATTGACTTTTTTCGGAATTTTTTTCAAGAACATTTAAGAAACACGTAGCTCTACAATTTTATATTTTTTGCCACACAAATAATACTCCAACCCATATTTAAAAGTGGAATATTTCGTCAACGGATTGACGGAAATCACTAAAATTTATTTTGACTTATACTCCATATATTAATGGACTTTTTAATATATTTTGTCATTTGAAAATCAAAAGTAGGTAGAGGTTTTACTTCCAAAAATAAAGGTGAAAAAAATAATATACATATACAGCTAAAAAAATATAAAAACATAAAATTGTTTCCAAAAATCTCTACTACAACATTATTCTTTCATACAATAGAGTAGGTACAAAATACATAATCAATGCATTTACAATCGTAATTGGAAAAAAATGACACTGAAAAACC